ACTCACATTACAACTTAAAATTTCAAAAATTAAAGTTTTCTAATCTAAGGTTTTTTTAGATCATAGACTCTATACAGTTGAAATACTGACTTAATTTTCAAATACAAGATGAAGAACTGATTTTGTTGGCTTACTCCTAAAATTTCCCTACATGTTCAGTCTTCACATCCTTGTTTATACAACTCAGACTAAAAATATTTATACTCTAATAATGATTTGCACAAACTGATAGGAGTCTCTTAAAATTTAGTTTTCTTCAAATAAATCGAGACTAATCTGTAGTTGTTTCATTTATCACCCAGCCTAAATAATACACAGTCTAAAGTTTAGAGAAATCCTTTTATTAGATTGGGCAGCAATTATTGTCACCATTGAAGTGTATCCTGTACAGATGATCCTCTACAAAGAAATGGGTTAGATTTCAGAAGGCTATTGATCAATCCCTTTGTTCTCAAGTCCAAGGGGCCACAAACAGCATCTCCTAGAGCTAGGCAAACTGAACACACTTTTGGTTTACCTTGGCTTTGTTTGCACTCTTGAGAGCCACACAGGTGCAGATCCCAGTAGAGGAAGACCTATTTTTTCAAGTATGTCCTGTTAAAGGCCCCTCCTCAGAAGAGAAACTCAGCAGGTCTGGTTTGCCACAGAGGCATGTAGATGTGCAAGCCTGTGTTTTGAGGTATGATGCGCACGTTTTGAGTCTCCAGAGAAGTGCACATGGACAGCTTATAAGGTGCCCAAATATGGTCATAAAGTCACATGTCAGTCTGAGCTTATTGATTCAGAGCTGCTTTAAAGGAGCAGACTTCATGCTCACCTCATTTCAGCTTATCATCAAGGAAGAGGCAAAATATAATAAGAAAAACAAAGGCAAAACTATGAGCACCTAAAGGAAATTAATTTTGGAAATGTGTAAGGTGCCATCTGGGGAGTATTAAGAATAAAGAAAAGGCCACTATCTATGAAACACTGATGTCAAGTTAATGAATAACAAGACATAGCCTAAATTCATCAGCATAGAGCAGAGGCCTAAACCTGCTGGCTACCCAGGACAATAAGGAAGGTAAGTAGCAGTGAAACTATTGATAGGGAAACAGAAAAGAGTTAGCTGGTAATTGAATGAAGAAGGGAGATGAAGAAAGTGTGACCTCAGCAAGTATAGCACATTGCAACTAGACCCCTCTCCCTGCTGGAAATATCCACAGAACAGAGAAAAGCAAGTATGGAAACCACTTTGGTTACTTACTCAAGAACATCCATTACAATATTGATTGGGATGTGATGCATCTGATTTGAGGGGACGAATCAAGATTAGTGTAGACCAGTGGTCCTCAAACTTGGCTGCATAGTGAAATAACCTAAAAAACTTCAGTTAAATATTGATGCCTGGACCCTGTGACAGAAAGTCTGAATCCAAGGCTCTGGGGTGAGGTGTAAGCATCAGTATTTTCTAAAATTTCCACCATCATCTTATTGTATTTTAAAGATTTTATTTATTTATTTTTAGAGACAGGAGATGAGAGGGAGAGAGAGGAGAGAAACTTAGATATGAGAGAAAAACATTGATCAGCTGGCTCTCAAATGTGCCCTTCGCAGGGACCAAACCCACAACGCAGGTATGTGCCCTGACCGGGAATAGAACCGGCAACCTTTCACCTCATGAGACCACACCAAACCACCTACGCCATGCCAGTCAGGGCCCCATAGTCATTTTAAAACATAGCCAAAGCTTTAGTTCCAAATTTAATGTGCATTAAATTAAATGGAGATTTTTGATTTACTTTATCTAGGGCGTGACCCAAGATTCAGCATTCTAACAAGCCCTCAGATGATTCTGTTACTGCTGGTTCTGGACCATACTCTGAGTAGCAGAGCCTAGTCCTGCACTGTCTGACACATCAGCTATCAGCCCCATGTGGCTGTTGATCACTTGAAATGTGACTGGTATTACTGAGGAACAAAATTTTAAATGTAATTAAATTTAAATTAAAATTATGAGCCTTGATTTGATTATTAGAAAACATTTAATTATACATGGAATAATTTGGGTATATGAATACTTTTTCAATTATGAACTTATGAGATTAAATACAGTCTGTCTTTATATTTGTATATCTGATGTATCTGTATATCTTATGAAGTGTATCTGATGAAAATTTAGCATATGAATTGAAATGTGGTAAAAGCATAGAACACAGACTTGATTTCAAAGACAGTATGAAATCAAGAATGTAAAATATCTCCTTCGCGGCCTTTGGTTACATGTCAAAATGATAGTCTAGATATATGGGATTAAATAAAATGTATTATTAAAATTAATTTCATTTCTTCTCTTTTTTCTTCTAATGTATCAACTAGAAACTTTTAAATTATATATGTAACTAGTCATTCATTTCTTTTGGACAGCACTGGTCAAGACCAAAGGCAATTGAGGTTTTCCTGTTACATGTTGTCAGTAATCGGTCTGATGGATGGGTATGTGACTCCAATCTAGCTGATGAGAACTAAGGGGAGGCTATAAGAAGCCTTCTGAGACAGAAAGTATCCTCTTTCCTTCCAGCTGCATTTAAATGAAACTAGGAGAGGACAAAATGCATAGAGATTTGGCAGCTCTTTTACCACCAGGAGGAAACAAGACCCTGAGTCTTGATGCCCTGACCAGTGTGGCTCAGAGGGTTGGATGTTGTCCTGCAAAGTGAAAGATCACAGGTTCACAATTCCCAGCCAGGGCACATTTCTGGGTTGCAGGTTCAGTGCCTGGTCAGGGTGCATAAGAGAGGCAATCAACTGATATTTCTCTCCCTTTCTTTCCCCCTTCCCCTCTCTCTAAAAACAAATAAAGAAAATCTTAAAACAGAAAAGGTATTTTTTATACCTGTCCTTATTGTTTAAATCAGAGCTTCTTAAATGTTACTGTGAATATATTTCCTGGGGGTCTTATTAACATGCAAATTCCTTTTCAGCAAATCTAGGGTGAGACCTGAAATTCTAAGTTTTTAACAAGCTCCCAAGTAATATCTAGGGAGCTGATACAAGGGCTCAAACCCAAATTAGATACTCTAATATTTGCTGCTGAAAGCATTATTAGTGGACACAGGAGGCAACTCCAATCTCTGCCCATTAACAAGAGCTCCATTTGCACACTGGCCGGCATTATAATCATTACTCACCAACTGGGGACCCAGGACATTGGAATTTGTCCTTTTCCCAAGAAATAACAGCTATTGTGGAAGAAAGAAGGTAGAAAGCAAGGGTTCTGCGGTTATATGCTTTTGGAAGACACTGGAGTAAAAGAAGATGTTTCTTTACTACTGGACTTTGCATGCACAGTTACTACTATGGCAGCGCATGCTTTAATTGTGAAAGTAATATTAATTACACACTTGATTACACAATACTTTCTTTTCACAGAGAATATCATGGGAGTAATAGCCCATGAAAAATATTCTGTTGAAATGATACATTATTTAGGTCATGAGTTAATAGACAACATCAAGGCCTACAAGCCTTGATGCCCAAGAAAATGTAGTTTATATGATACTAAATGTATGTATAAGAAGCATGGAGCTTGGGATAAAGTGATTTAGTTTCAAATTACTCACTGTGTAGCACACATCACATTCCAGCTGTGTGATGATGGACATCCCCTTATATGCTGTGAACTGAGTTCCTCACCCATACAACAGGAAAAGAAGGGAAAGGATGCCTGTCTATATCACAAAACTATGGTAAAGATGCTATGTGCTCACACTTTTTAAAAAGACACTTGGATGTGGAACAGAGTTAAAACTTTATGTGTATATCAGGTCTGTCTGGAAAAAGTTCCACCATTGTTAATATAATGAGAACAGTTTGTGCAACACCTATGCAACTTGGAAGCCAAGGAGACTGGATTGGAATGTGCATGAATGAACAATGACAACTTCACTGTACTAGTCAGTGGGGGTGGTAAACGCCCCTGAGTGAGCATGTGTACTGTGTGGCCATCTCATTCAAAATGACTGACTGAGTAGAACAATAAATCTGCATCAAATTTTCTATTAAGTTAAATATTCTTCCATGGAAACTATCCAGATTCAGAAGTCTGTAGCTATGGGCAACTGGTGATTGGCAGCTTTATCACGACAATGAGCCTGCTCATGAATCATGTATCCTGCAGAGTTTTTTGGCAAAATTTCAAATCACCAAGGTGACTCAGCCCCCCTACAGACCAGGTTTGGCACCCTGCAATTTCTGACTTTTCCCAAAATTAAAATTACCTTTGAAAGGAAAGAAATTTTCAGATCATCGAGATTCAGGAAAATATGATGGGGAGGCTGATAGTGATCGGGAGAACTGTGTGAGATCACAAGGTGCCTACTCTGAACATGACTGAGGCGTTATTCTCTTATGTACATTTCTTGTATCTTCTTCAATAAATGTCTTTATTTTTCATAGTACATGGCTGGATACTTTCTGGACAGACCAATATATATTTCACAACTACATCATGAAGTAGAATATATAATTCACATGCAGTCTAAAGAAAATACCTGGGAGAAAATCTTGGCTTCCTGAATATTGTGGGGAACTCATTCATTTTCCTCTGCTCTTAAGTGTGCTTCATAGAAAAGCTGCACGTGTTTGGAAGTGCTTTAAAGACGAAAAGCTCTTAGAGTCTGATGAAGGCTTGCGAGTACCACATGGTAAGTACAGACGAGCTACTCACCAGTCTCCCCATAGGGCACCCTCCCCACACATGGTCACCACTTTCCGGTTTGCAGTTTCAGACATGAGAGGTAAGGATGCCCAGAGTTCATGAGGCCTCAAGGAACCATTCAGGGTTTTTTTTTAAAGCCAAGACATAGGGATTTTTAAAAAAAGTTATTGGAGTGACATTAGTTAATAAGATTATGTGTTTCAAGTATACAATTCTACCATACAGCATTTGTATATAGCATTGTGTCCTCGCCACCCGAAGTCTAATCTTCCATCACCATATATTCCACTTCACCATCTTCAAAACCATATCGAATGCTTGATGGTTTGTGTGTCATCCTTGAACAGGGGTCATGGTAATCTTTCTTTGTATTATTGTCGTCTTAGTATATGTGCTGCTGTGGTGAGCACAAAAGGATTAAATGACAAAATATGTAATTTATAGTAAGAGTTGTTATAACTCTTAAGGGAATCATATTCTTTGACCAGTGAAATTACTTGCTGCTTAGAGACAATGCTACACATGAAGAAACTATTCTGTTGTGGTAGTACTGATGATAATCTGTCAATTATGTCTGCTTCCATTCTTTATACTTCAGTAGTTGACATCCTTCCCTTCTAATGTCTTTGGATAAAGCTTTACATGCAATCATTCTTTTGCTCACACAGTATTTTCCTAGTTATTTCAATGTTGCTATATACTGAGAACACAAATATGAGGTCGGCATGGTCCTGTCTCGTCCATAGGTTAAACACAAGTGAGAGATAAAGTATGTATTTGAATAATTGCAAGTTGAGACAGTGTCATCAAAACTTTATGAAAAGTATGTGAATCATTTCTGATTTAGGGTATGTAGGAGCAGAATAATAGCTATGTCAAGTTGCACATTTCCTAACACTCAGAATCTGTAAATACATTATGTTACATGGCAAAGAGGAATGAAGGTTGCAGATGGCACTAAGATTGCTAATCAGTTTAAGCCAGGATAAAGAGGCTATCCTGGATTTTCCAGATGGACCCAATGTAACCCCAAAGGTCCTTAAATGGGGAAGAAAGAGGTAGAAGTGACACTGTGAGAAAGACTCCACAGGGCAAGGATAGTTTTGAAGCTGTGAGGGACCACAAGCACAGGAACATAGGTGACCCCTAGAAGCTGGAAAAGGCAAGGAAAACAGATTCTCTTCTAGGGCCTCCAGAACGGAACACAGCCCAGCCAACACCTTGATTTTCGCCCAGTGAGGCCCATTTCTGACTTCTGACCTCCAGAGCTGTAAGATAACAATACACCTGTGTTGTTATAAGCCACTAACTTTGTGTGAGTTTTCCAGAGGAGCAATGACAACTTTATATACAGGATCAGAGAAAACTTTGTAAAGGAACCAGCCTAGAAGTTGGGCCTTAAGGAAGCTGAAGACATAGTTTTAATTTTCAGTAAATTAAGAAAAAATATGTAGTTCTTAAAGTGTTAAAGGATTCACTGAGATTTATTTTTCCTTTCAATGAAACAAAAAACAAAAATAAATAATACAAACACTTTATACAATTTTTACAAAATTACTCTAACATAAAAGGTCTTTTTTATACTCTAATGGTATATACAAGAAATGCCAAAATTAATCTTTGAAAAAATATGTACTGTTCTGAAAACCTCAAGTGATTACCACCTTTTATTCCTAATCTTACAAATTATCCCTTTATCCTACCCATATCAAGAAACTACTCAAGTTAACATGGTGTATTAAAAGATTTCTAAATTTGGTATTAGTTTCAACCAACTCACAAAGCCTCCAAGTCAAGAGAATTTAGATGGTTTCAAAGATTAAAAAAAAAGCAAATGCCAATCATATAAAGAACTGCCAGAGTTCAAGTAAACATAATTCTACATGGGTTTTAATCAGAGTATGTGTATATTTTAAAGTGGGCAAAAGTAGGTTTATAGTTGTGAGTATGCAAAACAGTCTATTCCTGTATTATTAATTATTTATTAATTATTGTAGTTATTTATTGTTATTATTAACTTACTTTTTCCTACCCCTGTATATGTAATAATAATACATACATGTTTTCTGTACATGATTGTATATTTATACATATATGCATATCCACACATATATACATGTAGATACAGCAATGGATAGAGATATAGAGATTATGTAATATATATATAATATTAACATTTATCTTAGTTTCATAATTATAGAATCAATGGGCCACTGATCAGTCAGAAACATCATCCGCAATACTGTAGTTCTCAGTGTTGTAAGAACTCCTACACTGATTCAGCTTGAGTATAGGATAAATGTTATGCTGCTGTAAGCCAGTGCCTTGTACAACAAAGGATTTTTAATGCTTTTTTTTAAAGGAATGAATAAAAATATTTTTGTATAGTTTCCATTGAGAGGAAATGGAAGCTACATTAACAATATGCTTCCCAGTGTATCTTGGCCCACAGAAATCAGGCCACTGTGCACTGTCCAGGAGCAGAAATCCGATCAGGGGCATGGACTACCTGCCTCCTCAGCAACTCCAGGGAGCCTGGGTGTGTTTTACCATAATCACCCTATTCGGCAATTTGTTTCTGATGGCAAGCTATCCCAGTCCTCTTTGGAAGGAGAGGGAACAAGCTCAACAAGTAAATATCAAAGGTAATTATTCAGAGTACACCATATGCAAGCAACTTATTAATCCAGTGCCATCAGGGAATACACAAATAAACATCCCAATTCAACTAAGCAACTCTCTGGCAGGGTTAGAAACAGAAATGCGTTTGAGTGGAGGGCATGGGCCGCAAGCTGAGCAAGGAGGCCTCAGTTTCTACAATATGAGAGGGGATACAGAACTGTCTACTGTACTTGGAGAAGGTTGTGTTATTATTAAAAAAAAAAAAAAGTTTACACAGCCCTGGCCAGTGTGGCTCAATTGGTTGGAGCATTGTCCTATAGACTGAAAAGTTAAAGGTTTGATTCGTGGTTACGGCACATGCTGAGGTTACAGGTTCCATTCCCCATTGGGACGAATATGAGATGGCAAACGATCAATATTTCTGTGTCACTCTCTCCCCCATTCTCTCTCTCTCCTCACCCCTGACCAAAGCAATGAAAAGAATGTCCTCAGGTGACAATCAAAAAAAGCCTACACAATGCCTGTAATATCTTAGGTGCTATGATACACATGAAAAAGTTCTACAATTTCTTGCATACCTCTAATCTCACAAATTACATTAATATGCTTAATTTTCACTGAAACTTACATGATAACTGATCTGCACAAAGACTTGTTTAGAGTTACTTCTAAAACAAGCTTTTCAGTCTCTCTTAACCTGAAGTCTAGAGAATTTGGGGGCAAGGGGAGTTGAGGAACTAAGATATAAACAAAGTTACTTTTTTTACACTAACTTATCATTAAAATCTAGAATTTATTCAATTATGGGCCTAGGCAAAGAATCATAATCATATTAATAGGATGTGTGATTCTGTCACCAATAGAAACCATACAAGCATTTTTAATTTTATTTTATTTATTGATTTTAGAGAGAAAGGAAAGGAAGGGAGGGAGGGAGAGAAAGAGGGAGGAAGACACAGAGAAGAATTGATTTGTTGGTCCATTTATTTATGTATTTATTGGTTGATCCTTGCACATGCCCTGACCAGGGATAGACCCCCAACTGTGGCAAACTGGGACAATACTCTAACCAACTGAGCTACCAGGCCAGGGCAAAGCCACAGACATTTTAATCTTATTTACCATGTTGAAGTACCTTGTGATGCTGTATAGTCACAGCACTACTTTGAAAGTATAGGAGCTAATAGCCCTGCTACTACATAGTACTATTTTATGTATTAAAAGCAAGTACCTGTTACTTTATAACAACTCCTAACATTTTGATAGCTTTAATACAATACAAATGTTTTCCTTGGTGATCCTATGTAATTTATTTTATGTATTAATAAGCATTATTCTGCAAAGGGTCCTCATAGGTTTCCCCAGATGCCAAATGAGTTCATGAAACAAAAATATTAAGACTGCCCCTGAGCTAGAACAACTAGTCAATGCAACCGATCAATTTCAAATTCAGTCGAATTAAATGACTAAGATCATACAGGAAAGGAGAAGGCAGTTAGAAGCATTTTCCTTTTTAACTCATGTATTCCTCATGCAGCAGACAGCAAAGTCGATCAGACCTTCCAAACACCACAGCAGGTGATGTACTAGATACATGGAGGAAGGAAGTAACACTGTCATTAAGGAGCTCAAAAGCCTTGCAGGAAAAAGAACTACAAAGATACAGATACATAGAGAATGTTACCACAAGGTTATGGAGTGTTTGATTAAAGAACTCACATTTTCCATTGACCATCACTGAAAATTGTTTGCTAGGGGTGACTTGAATTAGTATTTTCTTTAGAAAACTAATCTGGCAGAGGAATTTGTAAAGTGTGTTGGAGGGAGGTTGAGATTATCAAAGAGATGATTATAGTAATTCCAACAAGAGATACTATGGCCTAGTGAAGTGCCAAGAATGAAACTGAATGGTGATTTTGGACACAGAGCTACGTTATTTTGTGCACATGGCTTCATCTGAAACTCTTAAAGAATTTAATTGTCAACAAGGAAATGTTTAGCTAGACTAACCTAACATACATTATATATTATCATGCCATTATTTATATACATGTACATTGTATCATATAATTATTTAAGAGTATTTTTAACAGATGTTTAATAACATGAAAAATGTTTTTTCATAATGAATGAAAAAGAACATACAAAACTAAAAAAATTTAAAAGTATTTGTGAATTATTACAAAAATGGCTTCATTTTTTTCTCTCTCCCTGTATCTATGCCTGTATTGGTTTCCATGTCTCTCATAACAAATTACCACAAACCAGGTAATTCAAAACAGTAGAAATTTATTCTCTCTGAGTTCTAAAGGTCAGATATCCTAAATCAATGTGTTGGAATGGCCACATTTCCTACAGAGGCTCTAAGGCAGATTCTACTTCTTGTCAATTCTCACTTTTGTTGGTTGAGGCCACATCAGTCCAATTTTTTTCCTCTGTCTTCACTTCACCTTCTCCTCTTCTGTGTGTCTCAAACTCCCTGAGCTTCCTTATAAGGAAGGATGTGAGCCTATTTAGACCCCACCAAGATAATAATCCAGGATAAATTATTCATTTCAAAATCCTTAATTAACCACAACTTTTGCTATATAAGGAAACATTCACAGGTTCCAGGGATTTGACATTGATTTCTGGGGCAATTTTTCAGCCAAGCCCAATGCCTTTGTCATATTATTCTGCGGCTCCTCCCAGGAAGAGATGGAGTCCACTGCCTCACTCTCTGAAACTGAATTGACCTTGGGACTTTCCTTGGCCAATAGAATGCAGCAGCAGGAATCTTGTACCAATT